TCTGCTTCAAACTGTCCCCTTTGCAAGCACCCAAAGCTTTGAGTCTCTGTCATTTCTCTGTCTGGAAGAAAAGTGTTTGGGTAGCTACCACCAGCCCCACACTCTCTATCCCCCTGTCTGCTTGCCCACAGCCTCAATTGGAGCTAAGCTCTCCGCATGCTCCGGCCTCCACCTGCCCTGCCAGGGGGCAAAGAGCCCTCGTGAGGCCAGCAGCAGAGTGGCTAACTGCCTGGCGGCCAGCACAGCACAAGAAATATCCCGGCAGCAGCTGGGCCAGCAGGCACGGTGAGTGGAGGTGGGGGCATGCTGAGAGTTTGGCCCATTGCAGCCGCGGCCAAGCAGACAGTGAAATGGAAAGGGTGGGGCCAGCGGTAGCTGTTCTCCCTCTCGCGTTGGTCCCCACAATCGTTGCACTGGAAAAAAATAAGACCTGCCTGAAATAAGCCTGAGCGCTTATTTTCAAGCCTAGAAGAAAATAAGATGGGACTTAGTTTGGGGAAAACACGGGTAGTGGGGAAAAAAAGAAGTGGAAAAAAGTAATGATACAGGAAGAAGAAAGAATCAACAAAACTCTCAAGATTTTTCCCTCCTAATGGAAGTCAACATACGCTATTAGCACTTTAATTATACAGTGAAATATTAAAGCAGTTAACTAGAAGCTTCAGGCAAAGTGATACTAGTGAGCAATCTCTATGGGTGGTCCTTGAAAAATCCCTATTTAATGTATATTATACTATGAATATCTGTCCCACTGAGTTTTACATGGAGGTTTAAAATCTATAGCTCTCAACAGTTTGTCTTTCATTTATTAAGGAATGTGGCAAGAAGAACACCTCTTACATGTATTTTACCCTTGACAAAGGTAGTGATATCTTCTTCACTGTCAAAGATTGCAAGAGTCTGGAGCAAATTGTTCTCTAGCCATTCCCAGTGGCTTGTAATTTCTTGACGATTTGAGCCTAGACAGAGATTAAGAACAATCAGAGAGAAGATATAAACAAAGCTTTCACATACTAAAAGTGACACATATATAAAAGGATGAAAATGTTTATATTAGACAGTCCTTTGTCAAGTCATTTTCTTTTAAATTTCTATTCGGATCAGGAGTTTTTGTCCCTCATTTTATTAAAGAATCCTAAATTAAAGATCTGCGTTTCCATGCCAAACACCTCTAATATATGAGTAGCTGAAACTGGGCAAAACAGGAAATATTCACCAGTTTGTGTTTAAAAACTCTTTGCTTGCCTGATTATGTATCAGAACTTACCACAAGCCACTGTCCAATATATCTGAGAATCCTGTGTTTGATGCAAGATCCGATAAGGAGCAACTCTAGCACTGGAGTCCAAAACTACATCCAAAGTTCCCACGAGCAGTCCTAAGACAATGAAAATGCAGAAAAAAAATATTATGGACACTATCTAATTAAAACAAAATACAATGTAATCATGTATATTGAGCATAAGATTTTAAAAGAGGGTAAATTATAAATTTGAAAATGTGTGGATCCAACTCTAATTGGATGTTTCAATGATGAGAAAAAACCAATTTGAAACCGTTACTGTTGGCAATTTACATGTTTGATTTTTAAAGGAAATAATATCAGTGNGAGAGAGAGAGAGAGAGAGAGAGAGAGAGAGAGAGAGACTATGGGTCTGAGAAAGTTTATAAAACATGCAATATTCAGTCCTTTTCCCAAGGGCCTGGAACAAATCATATTTCTATGGCTAAATACAAAGTGGTACAAAACCAGTGTGTATCTTTACGTATTTCTAAAAGATTTAACTCATGCCATCACTTTAAAGTTTCTGAACCGTCTATCACATAATTTGGATCTATTTCTCTTTTTCCCAGGACAGGCAAACAGCTCAGGTACTGTAGTTATTGCTGAAAATAAAATTAAGAGGGAAAAAGGGTCATTCTAAACTGCAAAATTTCAAGTGTATACAGCTATGTTCTGTAGTACTATGAAAG